GAGCATTAGTTGATATCATGTATATATTGAATACAACCATGTTGTCCAAGTAAAACTAGTAAATGTATATCATGATTGATGGGTAGAACGTAGAACTGTGTTATTCTTTCTTTTATAGTTTTCTTGTCCCACTATTATTGGAAGGGTTAACAAGATGGTTTATTTGTGTTCTAATATTAATGGTAGTATGTGAACTCCCTCGTAAACGCATAGGACTATGTATTATTGTTGTTGTTTTTGTATGGAATTTCTTGTGGAAGACGACTAGACTGGGCAAGTCAATCCTCAATAAAGCGTAGCACATCATGGAGGTGACTGAATTCATCAAGGACTGATACAGACTCCTTATTGTATTGACACTCCAAACATGACCATAATAGCTGGAAATCTTTGTTTAAATAGTCTCATTATTTATGGTGATATTTGTTTTTATTATTCATGTTTTGATTGTATGAGTAGTTAATTATATAACAATATCCTAACATGTGGATAACATGGATAATTTCCTGGTTTAGATTATCAGTCATGACTTAGTATCTAATTTATATTGATTTAAAATATAGATATTCAAAGTATATATGTGTAATTAAAAAATAAAATAAAATTCTCAATTTTTGTATGCATAATTGTGAGAATTTGATATTTTATTTATTACATGTATACATACTACATATAAAGGTAAGGTAACTCGGTATCTTTATAACTATGTCAAACATCATTTTATTGTAGCTTTATAAAAATTAGATAATTTTTTTTATAACCCTCTCAAAGTATTAAATAACTAAGTATGAGAGGAAATTTATTTTTGTATAAATCTCACAATCTCTATTACTGGTTTTTAAGTGATATAATTAATTTTGTGTGTTGGATTTAGTGTTCTCCTCTCCATCGGATTAAATTAATCATAGAATCAACGGTACAAACTTCCTAAAATGATAATTTTGCGTAATTGTTAGTATGAGCTTACTTCTCCATCTGAAGGAGCTAATTTTGAAACAATTGTCACAAAATTAAGTAATGGTATACACTTATCTATAAATAGCAATATCCCCTCTATATGAGTCACTAATTTTATTTATAAGACTAAAACTAAGCTAGTTATTTAAATTTAGTTGTCATGTAATAGTGGTTAGAGAGCAAAGTTAAATGGCAATGACATATCTAGAAAAATGATAGATAGTAGACGTCCTCCTTATCGAGGCATGCTATTCATGGTGAATTAGGCTGCTGGCAAATTCATTTAGAAATTGGTAGAGATAACTAAATTTAAATTTGAATTCAATATTTTTATTTTGCCTATCATAATTTTTAATTATATGATTTTGAGGTTTTGAAACAGGTTCATTCAATTCTTTTTCTATCATACTTAAAAAACACAAACTGACTGGACCAAACTATACATATTGAAAAAGAAACTTGGACATTGTGTTAATTACAGAGGAGTACATGGTTGTTCTCACTAATCTTTGTCCAGATGAACCCGGTGAGGGGACAACTGAACAGGAAGTCTAGGCTCACCGGAGTTGAAAAAAGGTTGATAAGATGGCGCGGTGTTACACTTTAACATTTATGTCAAGTGTGCTCTAAAATTAGCATGAGCTTATGACCATTGCCTACGACATGATTATGAACATCAAAGAAATGTTTGAGAATCAAAATCGTGTTGTTAGAAAGACCTGATGAACACAAGCATGTTTGAGGGGACACTAGTATGGGATCATATTCTGAAGATGATGAGTCTTCTTAACGAACAAGAGATCCTAAAAGCTGAGATTGACGGGAAAACCCAGGTTGATATAATACTCCAATCTTTGCAGAATCCTTTAAGCAATTTCTCCATACTTATAATATAAAGAAGCATTTTTATTCTCTGGCGAAACTCTTTAAGAAACTCTAGACAACTGAAGATCTCTTTCAGTAACAACCTCGTGCTTATATGATTGAGAAAGATTTTGCTTCTAAGCCAAAAGGATAGAAGAAGCAAAAAAAATGTTCAAAAGCATGTTGTAGGCCCTCAGGGAGTAGTGAAAAAGCCTAAAGCGAGTATTTTCATTTCAAGCAGACAAGACACTAGAAGAATTAATCCTTAATAAAATGAACAATTTAGGTAAATCTCATTTACTCGTTGTGGAATCATGTTTAGTGCTATTATCTACTGGTACCTGGTGTATAAATACGGAAGCCATTAATCATGTCTATAAATTCTTGTGGGGGTTCCAGGAAACCAGGCGGCTCAATGAAGGGGAAATTAATCTATATATGGGCAATGCTATGAGACTGTCAATAGTTGTAATAGGAGATTTATATTTATGTTTTAGTAGAGATAGGTTTTTAATTTTGAAAGATTGTCTTTATACACCTGATATTAAAAGAAACTTAATTCGATTTCTAAATTAGTTAAGGATGGATATAATATTTAGTTTAGTAGCTCTATGGTTATTAAATATAATAATTATTTTATTTGTTATAATTCATTGATGGATGATCTTTATATTATGTCTCACCCACACTGCAATTAACTGAAATGAATAATGCTAGTACCTCTTCACATAAGAGAGAAGAATCTTCTAAAATGAATCAAACGTATCTTTTTACTTACGCTTGGGTCATATTAACTTCACAATGACTGAAAGACTGGTCATAAATGGATCATTGAGTTCACTGGAAGTGGAGACACTTCCAGACTTTGAATCTTTTTTGGAAGGTAAAATGACCAAGAGGCCTTTTAAGGCCAAGGGCTATAAAGTGAAAGATCCAAGCTATGACTGATTGGTTCATTCCGTAGCATTGGTTCATTCTGATTTGTGTGGGCCTATGACTATCCAAGCTAGAGGAGGCTTTGAATACTTCATCACTTTCATTAATGACTATTCAAGGTATGGGTACTTTATTTGATGCGCTATAAGTCTGAATGCTTTGAGAAATTCAGAGAGTTTAAGGTTGAAACGGAGAAGGGTAAAAAAATGTATCAAGACATTTACAATCTGATTGTGCTAGCGAATACATCTTAAGAGATTTTAGGGACAACTTGTTAGAGGTAGAGATTACATTCCAATGTTATGCACCCTAGCACACCACAACAAAATGGTATGATAGAAAGAAGGAATATGAATATTATGGATAAAGTGAGATGCATTATGAGTTATTTAGTTTTACTTGATTCCTTTTGAGGATTTGCCTTGGAAACTATGGCATATATTCTAAACTTGATACCATCTAAGTCAGTCCCTACTATTCCCATAGAACTGTGGATTTGGTATAAGCCTAGCCTGTGACTTGTTTGGATTTTGGGGAGTCCAGCACACGTGCTGAAAAGGAATGCAGATAAGGTGGAATCAAGAACAAAAAGTCTGCTTGTTTATAGGGTATCCAAGAGGAACAAAAGGTGGTCTTTTCTATAGTCCTAAGAATCAGAAGGTCATTGTTAGCCCGAATGCCCAATTCTTAGAGGAAGACTACATGATGGATCACAAGCCCAAGAGTAGAATTATTCTCGAGGAGTTGAGAGGAGATAGATCTGCATATACTTCTTCAATACCAACTGTACAAGATGGAACATCCCATGAAGTAGTAGACGATATCCTATTGCCTTGTCATAATGGGAGGAATATTGATACTCATGCATACTGATTCGTCATCAAAAGTATCAGTTCTTTGATAATTATTTATGACAAATTGCATCGATTCTGAATTATTAATTGGATAATCCTTTGATTTTATGCTTTGATTGATTTTTTGTGTTTGATGACTTTATCAGGTAAACATGTGAATTGAGCTCAATTGAAGTGCTTGGTAAATTGACCGGACAATTGAAGATTACTAGAAAATCAAGGGGGTCAAAGTGTAGTTACAAAAGGAGTCAAAAGCCCACAGTCAACATTGGACATTGTGGGACTGGAATCTTGGATAGCTTGGTGCATCCGGAGGCGAGTTTTGCAACAATGGCAGCCTTAGAATTTGACTAAGTATTTTGAAATGATGATACATAAGACTTTCGTCTAGACGCAACTTCTCCGCCTGGACGCGACAACTAAATTTTTTTATCATAGAGATTTCAAGGTGTTAGGACATGGGGAGAGTGAAATGTTTCATAAATTTTTTTTTTTTCGTCAGGTTGCACACTCCATTACTTGTATGAGGAGAGTGAAACGTTTACAGGGGATTGAAAAGAAGTATGTAAGGAGAATGGGATAACCTATGTGAACAAGTGGGAGATGTAATCTTAACCCAGTTATGAGACCGATTTAACTTAGTGTCCTCAAGGTTATTAGAGACCTAATGGGTTTAGACTCTTCTTCTTTATCCTAATTTATCTATAAGTTCAGATAACCATTAGTTGGGATTAGGATAGGATTTGAATCATCATCAAACTCTCTTCTATATATAGAAAAAGTTATACGATATACATATAAGTACAATTCATCACTTTCTCTCTCCTCCAAAGTTTCTCTCTAGGAATCACCATCTCTAAGGATTTCTTAGTTTTATGAGTGTGGATGCTAAGAGAACTCTGACAGCCCTCTTTTCAGCAGATTATCAAGCTTGTAGACACCAAGTCGTGAGGATACAAGCAGGGTTCGTAAAATAAATCGATTCAATCCGTTTCCTCGCATCAAGAGGTAACTTGTATGTAACCTCTATTTCCAACACCTGTCTTTCCCATTGTCATCTTCAATGGATGCCCCCCCTATCACAAGAAGACGGATAGGATACTTGGTCAACCTTTAGATTGAATAAAGTTCCTAAACTAGTCACCTCACCTCACCTCTTTCGTAAGATGTACATCTAATCCGGTAATGATAAATGTCAACATGGGTTTTTGTATTTTTCTAGCGAAAACATTGCTAAAGAGCGTGAACTGGACAAATCTGAGGTTCAGGGGCTTAAAATGCTCATTTTCAGAGGTAATTGTTTTGCCATCAAAAAGAGAATAAAATGGAATTTTCACCCATAAGACAAAAATAAAAAATAACATACAAATCAAAACTCTGAAACCGCATGATTTTCTTTTGGAATTGTCATGGGATTATAATTTGGCAAGCCCAAACAATGTCAGTTACAAAAATTGAGACTATTGCTACTACATATGTGCCACCACCGAAGGCAAGAAGTGAAAAATGTTCCATTACTCACCACCAAAATTGTCCCGCAAGAGACTATAATTAATAGGCTCTTTAATTGTGGGGAAAAAGAATATCTACTCCTGCGACCAGTTCCAAGTAATGGTTAGTTGCAAACCTTTGTAAAACCCAGTATTCAAGATTGAAAGTGCCAATTAGTCTTCCTTCCACTTGTTGACATACTTAAGGAAAGCCAGAGCAGGATTTTCCCTTGGTGGAGCACGAACTCGATTTGACCTCCGAAGCAGAGAGTCTTCCATTGCACTCCTATAAGCTGCCTCCTTCGATCTCTTTTGTAGTTCCGAGCTATGAAATTGCATTTGAGTGGAAAAAATGTCAATTAATGCCCTCATGATTAAATTTACTAGCCAATTCAGCATTTCAGAACTCAATTAGCATCAGGTACAAATGTCTAAGCAATGGAAAACCTTTGAGATGGACAAAATCTAAGTGCATGCCTTGCTTCAAAAATAAATAGTAATATAAAGGTTTCACTATTCCATTGCAACTCATACAACAATATAATCCCAGAACCTTTAGTATAGTTAATTGCACCCAATTACCATTGCATACAGCACCATAAGAAAAGGAAGGAAACAGTTCTACACCTCACATGTATAAAGGAAACTCTGAATCGAAATACTATAATCAAGCAGGTAATTTCGATATTTGAAGTATACTTATTTAAGCCATTCATGTGGGCCCCATTCCACCTGGATGCAGTATGTAAATCCCAACACCACGGTGACTTCCATAATGAGATATATCATTATCTATGCATATAGGTGTGTATAGATACATATACCCGCACATGTCCTACCAATGTATACAGTGTACAAAGAATAGACATTGGCTGTAGAATATCAAATTCTGGCCTAACAAAACAAATAAAGGAATCAAAATTTTAAACAGTAAAAATCTTCACTTAAGCAAGTCCTACAAGAAATACTCATGCTTAAACTTGGGCAAAAAATTGTTACTAGAAAGAAGATAAAAGAAAGAGTTTTCAATAATATTATTATGTGCAGTATTGTCTTAAGCAAGTTCACCGCTAACTCACCATATATTGGTATAGTATTTTCCCAGCTGTTTTTTAAGAGCTCTCTCTCTCTCCCCTTTTGTGTTTAGTGAACCCATCAAAGCATCAAGCTGTTAAATGCAAGAAACGTTAGAATAACCGAGAATAGAATGAGAAACCAGAACTTGGTAGTGCAGATGAGTACCTCGTCCTTGGCACTGTAATAGCCCCACTCTGTGGAGTCTGAGCTCTCAACAAATATTCTCTCATCTCGTCGGAAAAACCAATACCTGTTATGATATTTATCTTTCCCAAATGGGCTGGTGCGTATGAATCTCTTCTCCATCTCCCGTTCAAGATAATCTTTCTGCAGTGTAGAGTCATACCAAGATGAAAAGAAAAACTTGATCTCATACAGTTGTATTACATGCATGGCTGTAAGTGTGAATATACATGGTCAAATATAAACACATAAAGATGCATGTGTATATTGTATGCACAAACATATCGATAAAGAGACACCCCACCCTTTGTGCTTTACTTCTCTTTTCAATTGCTTCATTGTTCTCGTCCTTGAGCTGTTTCCGAACCCCATTCTCAGATGAATCATTTTCCAGCACAACTTTCACATCTACCTTCTGCTGCTTTATATTCTTCAATGTAACGCTTACATGGTTATTCCCACTGTAGGACAATTCAGAAAGAATAATCCTCTATCAAATTTACCTTCCAGAACATCTACATTAAATCACTAATAGAACAAATAACAACTCAAACCTATTTCTTGATGGATGCTTCTGCCCGGAAGAGAGGGATTTTTCATTCTGTTTCTCTGCAACATGCCCATTTTGTCTACTATGATTGTGATTCACTGGTTCACTTGAGCTGGTTCCAACAACCTCCGCACCATGCCCTTTCACCATTCCATTGCCATCAGACTCCACCTTCAAACGTTCTTTTTCTTCTCTTTTCTTTCTACCTTCCTCCAATGCTACCTCCCTTCTTGTCGCTGCAAGTGCCTGCCGCTCTTCAATATACTTATCCAACTTCTCCCTAACAATATCTGCTGCAAGAGCTTGATTAACCAATTCCCGAAAGATTCCCAATTTAGCACAAATATCTAAAAGGCCATAATGACCTCGCTTAATTGTCGTGATGCAAGTGGATAATTCCACAAAACCAACCATTTCCAAGAAGTCACACAAATACTCTGTCCAAGTGATTACAGTAATCTGAAAAAACAAGGGCAATATCACCAAATATCAATATTGCTATGACTATAAATATTTCTCCAATAAATAAAACAACCACAAGGGATAAGCATAAAAATTCCACAGAAGATGCAGTCATTAATTCTTTCTCCAAGAGAGATCAACTTGCATGAACATATGCTTATAGATGTCAAAAGAAACTTCGATATGAAGGTTTACCTTTGACTTCCGCTTTTTCTTCTGAATAGCCAAAAAATAATCGCCATTATCTTTTATAAGCAAGCGAAGAAGAGCAGAAAGAGATTCCACAATGAGAATCGAATTGCTGCCTTTGTGGCAAAGAGCATTTTCAAAATCTTCAAGTGAGAATGGACACAGGTGCAACAGCCTGCTGAAAGAAGTACAAAAGTCCCAGACCATCAAAAGATCCCCCACACAATCCATCGGAACATTGAAGTCCCTAGATGGAGAAGGGCGTTCAGTGAAAATGGGATCGTCTGCAGCAGCTTCAACCAACAGATCCTCAATTGGATATTTTATGGGCTTTCCTTTCAGTTTATCATCTTCTGCGGCCCAAGATAAATAAAAAATAAATATAATGTAATCACAATTATTTGAGAAATAAATCATTTCAATTCAAGAATCCCTAAAACTTCTGTAAGACAAAATTACAGCAAAGACCCCCCCCCTCCCTTCCCTATTCACCCATCCTCTTCTCTCTCTTTCTCTGGCGAAAGAAAAAAATCAACAAAATGAATAAGTATACAGGAGAAAATGAAACAGATTAAGCAAAAAAAATTGAGTAAAGAAAAACAGACCATAACAATGACATTAATTTGATGAAGAATTGCAGGCTGAAATATAGCAAAGACTTAATCCTACCCCTAGCAACCACCCTTGGCCTGGAAATAAACAACACTTAAAACCTACCTTTGTCAGCATTCAGAGTGTTTAAAGCCTCAGATTTTTCCCCACGCAGTCTTTTCTGCTTATGTTCTCTTAAATCATCATTATTTCCATCCTGAGGATGATAAAATATAGGAAAACCATAATAGTATTAAAGTCAGAACAGAAAAGAGAACAATGTAATATTAAGTGATACTTACATCGGTACTTTGTTTATCATCCTCAGTTTTTCTTCTCTTCCTATTGCAGACTATATGCCCATCCTGTAAGAAAATTTTGCTCCTTAACACTTCTGGAGGATTAGTTGAGATTCCATGCTTTCGGGCCAAGTTCTCATGTAGTACCCACGGAACACTTCGATATGTAGATTCCCTAATAAAAGACTTCAGAACAGCTCTAGTAAAAGGCAACTTTCTCACCAAATCATCTCCACTTATTACAGCATTTCCAGTTATTTTCTTATCTTTGCCAAGCCACACTACCTCATATAGAGTTTTGTCAGCCTTGCTCTCCAGAACTTTTACTATTTTGCATGGGTATACACGATTACTCTTCCTCCCATACAATTCATTACCCTCTGACAGGCTTTGCTGCAACTTTGCAGCAATTGTGGTGACAAGATCTTTCAATGTAAGGATACCTGCCAAGAGAAATACTCAATGGGAAAGAACCTTTTTGAGCAAACTTAGTAGGTATGGCAAATAAAAGCTTTAAAAAGACATGCTGGAATGTAAGGAGCATAAATAACTACAACAATGACTGGAACCATATACTCAGCTACATGTTCCTAAAACAAGACTACTTCATGTGATGATCAGCACAGACACCGTTCACGACAGCAACACCCAACCTTCAGCTCAGCATTACAAAGAGTGTTTCTCCAACTAGCAAAAGCCAGTATTGTTTGTGCTCAGCTTGGATCAGTAACTTCTAACTAATTGTATTTCATTTACAAAGATTAAAGGGTATCAGAAACCTAATGGTGGCTTTACAAAGGTGCCATCTTTTCAGGTAAGGAAAAACATAAAAATTGTCAATGCAAAGAAGAGAAGGAGAAGAAGAAGAAAAAGAATGATGATGAAAGACTCAATAGATTGCATGCCTAAGTACTGAGTTTTGAGATTTCCCAGACGATCACCTCACTCCAAAACAAGCCCTATACAAGCATAAGTCAAGTGCGGTACATCGGGCTGTTTAACAGTTCCACAGAGATAAAAGGCACAACTGATGCAGATTATCGAACATCTATAGATCTACCCCAAAAAAAAACTGAAGGCTTTATAATGAAATAAGCATGGTTATGCCGAACAATTGATGCACTTCACTAAATCAACAAAAATTATAGATCAGAAAATTGAAATGTCAGCTTGTGTAGCTGGATGTTCCAAAGAGTCTGTTAACAAAAAATAATTCGCCAATATTGTATCGTTTAATTTTTTAACTGTTAGAGTTCTTACATTTAGTAATCTTGGGTAGTATTGTAATTCTCATAATATCAATTTTAGTACAAATAAGAAAGTGTAGGGCAACTTAGCCTACACACATTATTTCTCTCAGTCTCTCTTTTTCTCTTTCTCTTTCTCTATGTTACTATTAAACCCTAACCTCAAGTTTACAATTTAACTTGGTATCAGAACAATATCTCATGGTAAAATTACAAAGAGAAGTAGCAGAATCAAAGTCCAGAGTCAGGACTACACTCTGATGTCATTGGCGTAGTTAGGGGTGCAACTTGGGCGGGTTGGGCGAATTTGACAGTCAACCATAGCTTAACCCTAAGTATATAATCTTCAACCCTAACTCTAACCCTAACTCTACCTTGGGTTGAGAAACTCAACCCGAGCATTGCTCGAGTTTAATTCGGGCGAGCTTGGGTTGAATTCGGGTTGATTTCAAGTTACTTTATAGGCTAATTTCGGGTTACTTCAATCAAATTTTTAACATAAAAACTATAATATTAAGAACTCAATATTTGAGATAATGCAACCATAACCATATAGAACAAATAAACACAACCAGAATCCTTGCACAAGCATAAAGTTCACTGCTCAAACATAGAGTTCACTGCTTAAACAAAATTCTTGCACAACCAGAATCCTTGAGAGAGACTAAGAGTGAGTGAGTGAGGGTCTGAGGAAGGCGCACATTTGAGTTAAGGTTAACCCTAGGATAAAATTGTATTTATATAATATTAATTCGGGTTAAACCCGATTCTTAAATCGGATTGAGCCCGATTTTAATATTCAGGTTCAAACCGTGAACCCGATGGCTCAATCCTAGGCCCGCCCAAATTAAATTCGAGTTAAAGTTTTTTTGACCCAACCTCAACCCAAGTATTAAAAACCCTAACCCAAGCCCTAATTTTTTCGGGTTGGGCTCAGGTTGAAATCGGATTAGCCCGCCCAAGTTGCACCCCTAGCCGTAGTCAGCATTTTCCGGCGACCAAATCAAACTAGTAGAATCGATCCTTGGCCATGATAATTATGTGATTTTTCCAAAAAATTTTCACTTTTTAAGAAATGAACATAAACCACCCACTACACACTTCAAGAGACATTTTATAGAGCAACTCAATAACAATACGAAGTACTAAGAACCATGCTTCTAGTCTAAAAAAGGCAGCTAAGTGCATGAGGCTTGGGGAATATAAAAGAAAATATAAACTAGTAATGAATGAATTGAGACAAACAATATTAAATCCATATAATAAACTAAAAAACAACAGAAAAGTGAAATTTAACTAAACAAATATGATGTGAGGAATTAAGACAAACAATAACAGCACATCTCAAATTGTCAACTTAGCAAAAATGACCAAAACTGTCTCTACTAATTGGGACCAGCTTAATGAATCCTCATTCGTTTTCCTAATCGTGTTCAACATAGTGAATACTAGCAATTTGTTGCAAGTGAGAAGGTATTAAAACCTTTTGAGTCCTAATATTTGTTTAATTTGACAGAGACACTGGGAATCCAATGCTAAGTTATTCATTCACTGGGATTTTGCTTGAGTTTGTGGAAAGGTCTCTTGGCAAAGCCAAGTCAATTTCGGGCCACCAAACCCTGCAACTAAAACATGCTTAATGTGACTGAAGAGGTTTGGGTGTGTTCCCTGATGTTAGAGTATACCAGCATCATCAGATTTTGAAAAATCTTAATGGTGGACCAGCCTTTTGTCGTACCCAATGTATATAATCTTCACATTTTGCGTGAAGATTAGTTGGTTGAGGACCCTACCACTCGCAAACACATTATGCACACACTTTTGATTCTGAAAAGCTCAGAGTGAATTTACAACAAGCTCTTACTATCAACAGTGGACTCGTTATTAGAGATATAAACTCTGGGTCGGAATACCAACACACTTGCTTAACATAACCTCCTCTGACTTACACATATTATGAAGGTTTGGTTCCAGGTGAACCTATATTAGCTTACTGGTCTAGTAACGGAAAGGGTTATGGGTCAGGCTAAGGAAATTCCATTCGTGGGGAATAGGAGGTTTGAGTTTTAGCCCAAGGAAAAGCAACTGCGCTTAGATTATTGCAGTTGATTATAGGTTAGCCTTTAGAAAAACCTTTAGCATAAAGTCCTATTGTAGAATTCAATCGGGAGATTGACAAGTGACCCTAGGATAACTTGTACAAAACCTAGATAACGGAACTACTATGTTGGCTAGTGGTTTGATCATTTGTAAACCACAAGATTGTTAGGTCAGCCTAGAAAACCCTCAGTTATAGAATGACACCAACCGAGCAGGGTGAAGAGCGGATGTAAGCCAAGGGGCCAAACTATTATACATTGTGTATGCCTTTGTCATAATTATTCTCATGTTCTCTCATGCATGTGATGAATGAATCTCATGCATGTGATTAGTAGCAATTTGTATTTTGTATCAATACAAATTATCATTAATCATTTCTCCGCAAGGGTGGTCAATACAAATTGCTATTAATCAAAGTGTCCAGGGCTGTCCAGTCGACTGGGTCACAGACTAGATATTATTTAATCCAATTTTTTACACCTTGGTTACATCAGATCAATCTAGGGAACAATTACGAGTTAATACATGTGAATGTTACTGAAAATTGAGTACCAAAAAACCAATCATTAGTTAGAATAACTTCCCTAACCTTGAGATCAAAAGCGTTAAAACACTGTAAAGGATTAATAGGAAACACAATATTAAAAGCTACAAAACACATACTTTGAAGGAACTAACGTGTCCATGTTTGATACGTGTCAAAAACCGACAATAAATCTTAATTTCAAACAAGTGTATGACACTCTTTTGAGACATATTATCATTTCTTAGGTTTTGTCTATGACTAAAAAATACATGTTGTAAACACTTCTTGAACATTTATTAACATGTGTTTATTAAAGCTTAGAAATTCTAAATATTTTATACCATGGAAACTATATGATTGTTAATACCAACCACATTAAAGTTTTACTACAAATTTCCAGCAAAAAGCAAAAGCCACAAATCTTATACTAGAGAATAGGGCTTGAGAGAATGAGAGTAATTATTATAATTGTGCATGCTTGTTATACCATATCTCTTAACTATTGTGTTATTATTGACTACTATACACAATTTGTCTAAAAAATCATATCATAGTACTAAACTCTAAACATAAGATTTAATTTCATTAAGTTCTAAACATAAGATTTTAATCTGCATTTTTAGTGACTTTGCCAACAAGCAGCCTACTGTGCACATACCATGCATGTTGGTGATCAATTTGTCTACAAGCTAGGAAGCACGGATACTCGTAGGGAGATCGACGTGGTGGTGTTAGACACGGATACGTGTGGCACATGGCCAGACACATGTCCAACACTTCTACAGGAGTCCTGAACAGCGAACAAGGATTTTTTGTAGCCGTATCGAGGGGGATACGAGACTTGGGGAATAAAAAAAAAAAAAAAGCAAACCTCAACAAAGAGTAGAGAAGAAGAGGCGAAGGCTTCAACAATCTGCTTCAGAGGGACAAAACAGATCAGCTTCACCTTCAATGCTTCAACGATCAACTTCAAGCCTTCTTCTTCTTTCCTCCTCCTTCCTCTCCCCTTCTTCCCGAAAGTCTCAATTCAACAATCCCTTTTCCTTTTCTTCTCTCTCTCTCTCTCTCGATTTGAACAGAATTTTCCTTCCGTTTCTTTTTTTTAGTATTTTTCTTCTTTTTTTGGTATAATTTGTTTATTAGTTGTCAAATAAATTAACTCACAACCCACTTTGGAACTAGACCACATCCCAATTTGATATTAGCCCACTCCCCAATTTGATATTAACCTTTTGCCCAATTGTAACATATTAACTAACTACTCAATGATTGTTAGGTCTTATTATTAATGTTGTTATTTATATAAAAAATATTTAATATTATTTTAATTAGTTGTATCTTTGTCGAAACTGTGCCCTATATTTTAAAATTTTATTATATCTCCGTGTCATATCAGATATAACACTCATATCCGTGTCCGTGTTCATATCTGTGCTTCTTAGCCTACAACCCTAGCAAACAATATACAAATGACATCACCAATGGTTCTACCTCACAAATGTGCCACTATGCATAATGGTATACACATCAGAACTTCAATATAAATTATCCTACAACAAAGTAGAAAATGAAACAAAAAAAACACTGAAAATAAAAATTATTGTAAATGCAACTGCCACTTGAGTAGAACTCACACCAAAACTTCTCCACATCACTACATCATGTTTTATTGATTTAAATCACTCAAAATGATTTACAA